ATATAAATGTTCTTAACAAGTTTATTATGTATGATCAGATTGTTCGAAATGTATTACGCTAATATATCATCATTACATAGTTCTGATGATCTTCGTCTTCTTATTATACACTAGTGAAATTTCTCAGACGGACTAATTGCTTTAAATCAAAAATTAATCAATCAATTAATCAATAATAATAATAATAATAATAATAATAATAATAGGGATAGGGGAATATATGACTCATCTGACACCTGTTCGACTATCTGCATGTTTGAATAAGCAGATAACCAACCAATCATTATCATTCTTACTCACACATCACCTCCCTCGCATAGTTTGATCGTATAATTTCACTTTTGGGTCTATTTGTAAAACTCTGGTTTGTTTCCGTTCTCTGAATGATCTTCGGCCAACTTCTGATTTCAACTCAGTTTTTCGTCATTTCAACTTGTGGTGGTAGTGGTGGCAGATTAAATGTATCAGATAATACTGAGTTTAGATGACTCATAAACACTTTTTCTATCTCTCAGTTCATTCATGTGTCTAATAATTAGTGTATTTTCGACCATCACTTCATACAATACCGTCTCACGTCTTTTATTTACACACCCAAATGTTCATTTTGGTTTGTCGGGACGGAAATCACATGCACAGACAAAGTCACCTGTTTTGAATTCGCGAATCTTCGGGCAATTCCATTTCTTGTTTTTCTTTGTAGTCCACTCATTCTGTCTTTCGAGATCAAAACATTGAGAAATGTCCTAATTGGTCAACCAAACATTATATCGGCAGGTGATTTTCTGTCTTGACAGTCTGCACTAGATGTAATTCTATAGAAAATTAGATGTTGCAGAGCCTCTTCTACGTTATCTTTTCCCATCTTCCTGGAGCAAAAACTCCCAAATACCAAACCAATGACAAAGATAAACCAAAATATCCGAAAAGAATGATATAAACAAACAAGTTCAAAGTTTAAGTAAAACAAATACATCCAAAAAGCACAGTAAAATTATTGATGTACAATAAAAAGGTTTTAATCAGCCAAATGTCTACAGTTCTCCCGTAACACCCATATCAATTCGCAGCTCAACAGGTTTACCATTTAAAAAGTTAGTTACGTATATCCTTTTAGACAAGAATTGAACACGTCTTGTGGTCAGAACAACATTCGAATTATGTGTTATCTCTCGTGACGTCTGCGTGTTGTTTCCTTTACGGAACGTTTTCTGACGGTCGGCAATCTTCGGCCTACTTTTACAACATACTTGAGCATGACCATATTTACCACATTAGAAATAAACTTTTTAAAATGAGGCATTTAAACTTATATGAGGACATTTCCTGTAAACGAAACCACTCACATTCCCAATGTTATAACGCTCGTGTTTACTTCGTCTACAAGTATGGGACGTCAATTAACTTAAACGAATATCTACACTAGGTTTCCTCACAGTGTCTATTCTACAGGACTTCAACACGACTCAGATGATAAAGAACACGTGATTAGCCTGACTAGAACGTGAATTAATTTCTACAGCAAAACTCGACACAATCCAACAACAGTGAACAATCAATCAATCAATCAATATTAATAATAATAAGGATAGGGGAATATATAACTCATCTGTCAGATGAGTGATATATTTAGTAAAAAAATATGCAAATCATATATAGAGTACATATTGGCACAACTTCTTTGCATTGGTTTTACATACTGCATTATTGTTTTAATTCAGTTGTTATTTTAATTGTGATTCGTTTCCTTCCTGTTTTCTCCATTTGAAACCTCTTCTGATAGGCATTCCACTCCAATCGCTGCCACGTACTACTTACATCTGTCAGCCTCATTAACATACACCACACTTGTTCCCTCTTTAAACAGTCGCTCCTTCAGTCGTTCTTCTCACAATGCACCTTTACTCCTCTTACACATTCTGTGCCCCGTTCCTCATCGAAATGTCGATTCCGTTGACACACTGAACTATGTAACAGTCCCCACCACGCACACCATCTAAATGTGATGTCCATCCTGCACTCAAATGTCTCGCGTCTTCTCTCTTCTCTCTTCTCAACACTGAGTATCACAAACAATATCATCTCACCAGATCACTCCGCTAGACGTCTACTATCTGCAACAGACAACACCAACTTAATACTCATCTCTAGACCCAACAACGGAATCCACAGTACAGCACCATCTCCACCTCATCTTTGACAGTGACACTAAATGTTAACAATAAATACGATAAGAATTTCGTCACAGTTCCATCCAATGAGACGACAATAGAGGATTCACTATATACATCACGGATCATTCTCGCTCTATCAACCGGTAAATCTAATATATTTACACGGTTCAAAATATCAGTATATGTGGAATCGTCATCATTGTAGTCTGAACAGAGAGAAATGAAGCTCAATTTATTCATCCTAATCAGTAGCGACTAATGTTCAGAAGATTTTTACATTTGTGAGCTCAGCGAATTCGAGATATTGAGATATTCAATAGTCGATATGTATTTATGATTTCTCGTGTTAAACAGGAGTTCACATACGGACTGAACATTCATGGAAGTCAATGTGTTTGTGACTGGCGCATTTTAACGCAGAATCAAGATTATTCATTATTTGCTTGATTGGTTTGTGAAACATTTATTGTAAATTCACTGACGTATGGTAGGAATGTGTGTTCTCTTTATGTTACAATCCATGTCAGTTATGGAAGTGTTGAACATTCAACTAGACAATAAAACACAACATCCCATCTTAATCGATCAATAATTAGTAATGAATTCTATAAACCAATTGCATTGAATGTTATTGGTTGGTGGATTCAGTGCTATGCAATTTTCTTTCAGAAGGGAATTGGAACTGGAATATTTGTACTACCAACTAGTTTACATAATTTTAGAGTCTTTCATTACACAATCCACACTGCATGGATCATGAGATATTTTGGCATTGAGAAAGTCAATTTTCAAATCCCATCATTGTTCATCAATTAGAGTGAATGATAACATCACTGATTTCTCACTGATTTACATAGAATCAAACGTAACAGAATGAATCGGTATTTCAGTATTAACATTCTATAGATTTTGATAAAATGTAAAACTGTGATGAAATTTCGAAGTAACGATTTCGCTCAACCATCAACTTTACCTCTACATTAAATAAATTGTTCCCTTAAGTAATAAATTATAGTTCTATGTTCAAAATGTAGATTGCACACAGCCTAGGTAACCTCCACAATGTGCATGCATACATACATACAAATGGTAATTATTAGATGGTATTAGTTGGAATTTAGTTTTACCTTTTTGAATTTGATAAACGGAATGCAGCTATAAGCCATTAAACATGAAAGGTTGGTTAAGCAAAGTCTTCTCTCTTTGTGGAATTCATTTTCAATGCTGTACAATTGCTAATATATATACTTATTTTACAAGATGATAATAATACTCACTTAGTATTGTTTTGCTTGTATTTTCCTATAGAGGTTTATGATTGCAATTAATCAGTCTGTTATTGGCATATGTGCATACTATGAGTATGCCTCGATATTGCTTTAATTAATTAGCTTTTATAAGCAAAGAGGGATAGTGGGTAGCAGTGGAATCCAGTTTGACGCGCACACAATTCTGGTTTTCCAAGTTCTATGGCTATTGCAAGGAAGATGCAATTTAATTGTCTTTGGAAGACTTCTACTTCCTTGTAGATGACTTTGAATGCAGAGTCTGTCTTGATTGATTGACCTGTGTTCCCAAGGTGTTCGATTATTGAACTATTTATTGAGCCGTTTCCTTCTATTCTTAGGCACGCCGACCAATGTTCTTGAATTCTTTCGGGTAAATTAAGCATATTACGACCTATATACCTAGCTCCACATGGTCAGGCAAATTAGTAAATCTATCTTTTGACGAATATTTAAGCCATTAACAATCAAATGTTTATTAAGTTCACCTCGTATATAAATGGTTCTTATACATTTGTTTATTTAACCCCACTGTCACCATATCAAACAGAAGTTTCTAATCAATATTATTATTAGAATGAACATCAACTCTGAGATGTAGGTGCATCCAGTTGACGAGTATCAAATAGGACGAAACGCGCATCAAACTGGATTCCACTGCTACCCACTATCCCTCTTTGCTTATAAAAGCTAATTAATTAAAGCAATATCGAGGCATACTCACAGTATGCACATATGCCAATAACAGACTGATCAATTGCAATCATAAACCTCTATAGGAAAATACAAGCAAAACAATACTAAGTGAGTATTATTATCATCTTGTAAAATAAGTATATATATTAGCAATTGTACAGCATTGAAAATGAATTCCACGAAGAGAGAACTCCTCGCTGAACTGACATTTATTATTTTGATATTGTGTTGTCAACATTTCGATTTACAAATAATAACTATATGATATCTACTTGTCATTCAAACCTGGAGCACTGTTAATTCTTATGTCCTTAAAACGGTCGAAATGTAGTCATCAGAAGGGTAATTTTAAAAGGACACTTGATAGATTACAGTATTGAACAATGATTTCGTACACGTTGAACAAGTGGATCGATGTATGAACTTAGTGGGTACATCAATACAACGTAAGTTGTCAATGTATTTGCATTAACAAATAAAATGTGTGTAGTCTAAGTCATGTTATATCAATAGTGTATATTCCATTGTAGTGTGGTTTTCACATCTCAAACTATGCTCAACAGATATTGTGACGAAATGTCACAAGTAGAATTTCAAAGAAAAATACACCTATCGTTTTACTTATAAAGCTCAATCAATCCACAATGCTCTCAGTGTTATAGTCAACCAATGACTTTCCATCATTAAATCATAATGCACCTCTCAATAACCACAACTAGATCGATTTATGATTGCTATTACACCTCCACAATAAACACTCTGAAGAGATGACAACTATCTATCTTGAAATCTTATCAATACCTTATGATAATAAGAATAATGATAATCTCCTTTCGATCAAGTACCTTGTATTCGTTGTATGAACACTTCGGATCTGATCGACTGATATACTCTAATTGAAATATCCTATCGATTGTGTTAAAGAGAATAAACTTTTTTCATTTTTTGTTTGTTTTCTTTCGAAATACCTCCCAGTAACAAGTTGATTTAAACAAAGAAAATAATGAAGAAATTCATTATTCAGTTGATAAGAATAGTGTATAATGGTGTACAAATAAGTAAGATCAAATGACAATAGAATGAGTAATGAATAGTCAATGATTCGGTTGTCTGATTGACATTAGGTTCCATTGAATATCTTCTTAACATTTGATCTCAATATGACAATTATGCAGATAGAAAATCGTCACCTTCAAATTTACGTATTCTCAGAAATGACAATATCAAGTAGACCGCTTGAATAATCCCGAATGTGAAACATAGATACATGATTAGATTTAGATAAGTTTGTGTATATTCAATTATCGCTGATACACATCCCTTTGATGAAATGATGAGAAAAAGTGAATGAAGAATTACAATGAAATGTTTATCATTCATTCAATAAATCTACATGGATAATTGAAATGTGAAGCGTAGTGAAAGTGATTAGACTGTGATGTTGTTGTGAATGAGAATAAGACTGAGAACAATGTTGAACAGTCTTGTCACAGACAACAGTCTATTGTTGTGTCGGTAGAGCCGTTTCGGTGAGTTTGAGTTAATGGTTTTGATTTTACCACTAGTCACTCACTAATATGATTGAGTTATAATGTGCTGATGAGAGGAACATAAGTGTCAGTAATGACAACAACTTCAATGGATATAATGTCACCTAATCTTCAAATATGGAACTCTTTTAAATATTCATGTGTGTCAACGAAAACATGTAATCAAGATGATTGTATTTGCCTAGATGAATAGCATTACGCGATGAATCCTATATTTGGAATCACTAAGCAACATGTTAACAAATGTTATTAAAACGCGGTTGAAATTCTACTCAATAAATAAAATTATTCCACACGACAGTTGATTCAACGTGTTCCTAGTGAGTGATCTGAATATTCAGTATTTGGTTATAAACCGTAAGTTATTACGAAAATGAATATTCTATGGGGATTGTTAAAGTGATGAAATCAGGTAAGTTAATTGGTTAAAACTTTGCAAAATTATTGACTTACTTTAGGATATGCGAATTTGTCGTATTTACATGAAGCAGGTGTTAGTGCTGCCCTAGTAAATTGTGGAGGTCGATAATCATTTTCCGAGTTTGCTCCACAGCAGAAAAACTATAAACAACAGATCATCAGAATTTTGCATTCGATTATAAATTACACTCTTTTGTAATTGATCAAACTCCATGTGATAATCAACTCGTTTATCATATTGTTTAATAGTAGAACTCAGCGAGCTATTAACTAAATTTAGGAACTATAATGATACGAAGATCAGTGTGTCACGATATATTAGGTTCAGTTTATATCAAACAAACCTTGTCTTCCGTTAAAGCTACTTTAAATGCCATACCGATCCACACACAAGTCACGATAAACAAAACGAAAATGTTCTAAACAGAGGTATGAGTGAAATACATTTGTCCATATTGCACATATCACTTACCAAATATATGATCATTTTGTGTTTCTTCGAGTGTCCATAAATGCCAACAAATGATCCTAGAACACCGAGACCTCCTGAGATACTTACAACCAGGAAGATCTCTGGTTTCGCATTTTGTAGTATATTTCTGAATTGATTTAATGTGATTTGTGGTTGAATTCCGAGTGCTAACAGAACAACACCGAACACCTGGATTGTATAAATAAGATGAAATGAATAGCCATATGAGGCGAACACATGTAATGATACTTACTACAAAACTACAATTGCACAGGATGAATACTTTAGTCCAAGATTCACTTGACAATAACATTTCAATATTGTTCACTGAGATGATGATATTGTGTATGCTGTATGTACTGGTAATAAATGTGAGTCAATGTATCGTTCACTTTCAATGTGAATTTTCACAGAATATCAAGTGAAATAGTAAAATTAATTGGGATTCGTCTGAATTAATTTATTCATTGTACTGTGCATTTCTAATAGAAATTCATGCACAACACAAAGTTAACTTACTTAATTCAGAAGCAGTAATGAATCACATCATCAACATTATCATTGTCACTATGGTTCGGCTTCATTTTATTATCAAATTCAAAAGTATACAACTTGTCATTATAAGTAGGTAAAATTGTGTTGTATGTATGTTTATGCATTTGTTAGTGGTAATTGTGATGTAGTGAACGAGAACACAAGTGTATTTGAGAAGAAAATTACAGAAAATCTTTTGAAAATATCTGATAACCATTAGGTATATACTGCATTTGCAAAATGTCAATTCATTGTCTCAAACTTGACTGTTCCTTCTGCAAATGTCAATCAGTCGTCTCAGAATTCATTGTGCTTCAGGTTCCAAACTAATCATTCTCTGTTTACATTCTCTTCTGTTTGATCTTCTCAATCTCCTGTTTCAGGTATTTCACTTTCGATTGATAATACATGCTACTCACACCTGTCAACATCACTAGCTCACACGTGTTATAGTCACACTTACATTCACATAATCAGGTCATGGTAATACAGAGATGACATGGACATTATGAGTGGTTGCATACTCAGTATGTCCAACAGTATTTCCTCAATTATGACAGGTAACTGTTCATTCGAAATCATGAGGACATACTTCAAAATAATAACGACAGATGATTGACCAAAATAACGTTGAAGAACAGAAGCTGTGAATGTACGTAACAATTATTGTGGATATCTGTAATTGTGGCAGTTCAGTTAAGTGAGAGTAAACAGGATGAGATTCATGTGGAGCAGGTGTATTTCATGAAGGATGATCAATGTAATTGATGTGTGGGCGAGAATGATAATGATAATGATTGGTTATCTGCTTGGTCAAACCTGCAGATAGCCTGACAGCTGTCAGATGAGTTATATATTCCCTTATCGCTATTAGTATTATTATTATTATTGATTGATTGATTGTTCATTATTGTTGGATTATGTCGGGTTTCGGTGTGGAAATGTATTTACGTTCTAGTCAGGCTAATCACTTGTTCTTTATCGTCTGAGTCGTGTTGAAGTCCTGTAGAATAGACACTGTGAGGGAATCTAGTGTACATATTCGTGTAAGTTAAATTGAAGTCCCATACTTGTAGACGAAGTAAACACGAGCGTTATAACATTGGCGATTTTGTTAAAACGGATCTACGACTATATATTCAGTTAAAGTGGATTCTGTAACAATATAATGGATGATCTGTAAACTTTATTGCAACAGCAAAATTCTCTTATCGAATTATTGGTCAAAAGTATGTCAATATCACCAAGGATCAATGTATTTAATTCCACTATAACTCCGGATTCTATTGCGAATTCAATAAATTAATTTAGATTTGATCCAGAATGTGAAATTACTTTTGAGGCATAGTTTAAACGCCATGAGGATTTGTTTATTAATGAGTGTAAAGAGTGGAACGAAGGTTCGAAACTCAGATTATTATTACGCAAGCTCGGAGTGTCTGAACATGAAAAGTTCTGTAATCGTATCCTCCCAAAGAAGCTAACCGACATAACCTTTAGAGAAATAAAAGAGTGTCTGACACGTATATTTGGTGAACAATCATCAGTTTTTCACACTAGATACCAATGCCTCCAGCTTGTGAAAAATGCACAGGACGATTATATGACGTAAGCAAGCATCGGGAACCGGGAATGTGAGTGGTTCCGTTTACAGGAAATGTCCTCATAGTAGTTTAAATCCCTTATATTTGTCTGTGGGTTATAGTCTGCAGTAGATGCAGATATCAGAACACGGATTTTAGTGAAGATCGAACACGATCCTAATACCAGTCTGCAATCAGTATCTGAAGAATGTCAAATAATGGTTACTTTGAAGCATGACACAAATCTTTTAACGGAAATAAGGATTGGTACTCCTAACGAGTCCCAAATCAAATGAAACCCAGAACGTTTTGTTGGCGATGCGTTAAGTATCATTCTGGTAATGTTTGGTATTTTAAAAAAGTTTATTTCTAATGTGGTAAATATGTTCATGCTCAAGTATGTTGTAAAGTCGGCCAAAGATTGCCGACCGTCAGTAAAAGTTCCATAAAGGAAATAACATGCAGATGTCACAAGAGATAACACATAATTCGAATGTTGTTCTGACCACAAGACGTGTTCGATTCTCGTCTAAAAGGATGTACGTAACTAACTTTTTAAATGGTAAACCTGTTAAGCTGCAAATCGATATGGGGTCTGATATAACATTAATTTCTAGAGAGACCTGGATAAAACTTGGTCGACCTCAATATCAGCCTACATATTTCAATGCTCAAAGTGCAACAGGAACCAATATTACTGTTCTTGGGGAAATGCAGCTACCTCTTACATTGCGTGACGGGACTATGACCGGAATATATTATGTATCCGGAAACTGTAATAACAACGTGTTAGGTATTGATTGGATAGACGAATTCTGTTTGTGGTATCTATCGTCGAATACTCTGAACGTAGAATCCCAGACATGGCTTGAAACGAGTTCACATCGATTATGCTGGACCAATAAACGGACAATATTTTTTGGTGGTGGTAGATTCATACTTTAAATGGACTGAAATCTATGCCGTACGAAGACCGTCTACATGTGAAACACTGTTATATCTCAAACAACTAATAGGTAGGTTTGGGACACCTAATGTTTTGGTTTCAGATAACGGAACGCAGTTCACGTCGAAAGGGTTTGCGGAGTCCTATAAAGAAATGGAATCGAACACATTGGAACTACACTGTATCACCCTCAGCTGAATGGGCAAGCAGAAAAATGTGTTGATATTCTTAAGCGAACTCTCTTTGGGATGGTAGAAGATAAAGTAGAAGAGGTTCTGTAACGTCTTCTAATTTTCTATAGAATTACATCTAGTGCAGACTGTCAAGACAGAAAATCACCAGCCGATATAATGTTTGGCTGTCCAATTAGGACATTTCTCGATGTTTTGATCTCGAAAGACAGAATGAGTGGACTACGAAGAAAAACAAGAAATGGAATTGCCCGAAGATTCGCGAATTCAAAACAGGTGACTTTGTCTGTGCATGTGATTTCCGTCCCGACAAACCAAAATGAACATTTGGGTGTGTAAATAAAAGACGTGAGACGGTATTGTATGAAGTGATGGTCGAAAATACACTAATTATTAGACACATGAATGAACTGAGAGATAGAAAAAGTGTTTATGAGTCATCTAAACTCAGTATTATCTGATACATTTAATCTGCCACCACTACCACCACAAGTTGAAATGACGAAAAACTGAGTTGAAATCAGAAGTTGGCCGAAGATCATCCAGAGAACGGAAACAAACCAGAGTTTTACAAATAGACCCAAAAGTGAAATCATACGATCAAACTATGCGAGGGAGGTGATGTGTGAGTAAGAATGATAATGATTGGTTGGTTATCTGCTTATTCAAACATGCAGATAGTCGAACAGGTGTCAGATGAGTCATATATTCCCCTATCCCTATTATTATTATTATTATTGATTAATTGATTGATTAATTTTTTGATTTGAAGCAATTAGTCCGTCTGAGAAATTTCACTAGTGTATAATAAGAAGACGAAGATTATCAGAACTATGTAATGATGATAAATGAGCGTAATACATTTCGAACAATCTGATCATACATAATATACGTGTTAGGTACATTTATATATAAAATAAATCAAAAGGGTCAACTAGACTGGAAATGGGGTAAAAGGAGACGAGGATAATAATAATAATAATGGGAACACAATTTGAAACGTAATCAGTGAAGATAATAAGGGAATACACAAAGGAGGATTGAATTTTTATATGGCTAAGGCTTTATTGACTCCACTTGTAGCTCTTCTAGAGTTACTGCCGGTCCGAAGTTGGGGTAAAGGAGAAGGGTTGTGCATCGGCTTAGCGATTCCATCACGTAGAAAACTAACTCGCTAAAACAACTCTAACATGAAGAAATAATCCAAACTATGTTATACTCTGGCCATGAAGAATGCCCCACATACACGAGGAGTCGCATTCATGTTGTCCAAACAAGCACAAAATGCACTATAGGATGGGAATCTCATGGACCAAGGATCATCAAAGCGTCCTTCAAAACAAAGAGGGCATCACAATGGACATCATCCAATGCTATGCGCCTGCCAACGACTATAATGAAGACGCTAAAGATCAATTCTACAATAGGCTGCAGTCAATCATCGAGAAGTGTCCAACAAATGACTTGACCATTCTAATGGGAGATTTAAATGCCAAGGTTGGAATGGACAACACCGGATATGGGACCACATGGACTGGGAGAAAGAAACAAAAATGGTGAGAGATTTGGAAACCTATGTGCCTTCAATAGGGGCATCACTCTTCTCTCAATACCTGGAAAGTCTTAAACAGGATATTGTTATACAGAATGAAGGACTCCGTAGACGCCCAAATCCGACACCAACAAGTAGGATTCCGTAAAGATAGATCGTGTACAGACCAAATCGCAACTCTCCGGATCATCGTGGAACAATCAATTGAATGTAATTCATCACTCTACATCAACTTCATTGACTACGAATAAGCATTTGATAGCGTGGAAAGAACAACACTATGGAACCATCTTCGATAATACGGCGTGCCTCAGAAGATAGTTAATATCACACGGAATTCCTATGATGGATTAAACTGCAAAATCGTGCATGGAGGACAGATGACAGACTCGTTCGTGGTAAAGACCAGTGTCAAGCAAGGTTGCTAACTCTCACCCTTTCTCTTTCTACTGTTGATTGACTGGATCATGAAGAGGTCAACATCTGAAGGGAAACGCGGGATACAGT